TTTGCAGCAAAGAAGCTTTTAAGTTTGATATGGTCCCCACTTGTTCATTTTTGTTTTTGTTTCCCTTGCCCGGGGAGATATGTTCATGAAGAAGTAAGTTACTCATGTTTATGTTCAAGAGATTTTTGCCTATATTTTTTTCTAAGAGTTTTATGGTCATAACTTACATTCAGGTCTTGGATCCATTTTGAGTTTACTGTTATGTATGGTATTAAACAATAATCCAGTTTCATTATCTTACATATAGCTGTCCAGTTTTGCCAACACTAGCTGTTGAAAATGCTGTTATTTTCCCCATTGTATATTCATGGCTCCTTTATCATATATTAACTGACCATATATGCTTGGGTTTATATCAGGACTCTCTAGTCTATTCCACTGGTCTATGGGTCTGTTGTTGTGCCCATACAAAATGGTCTTGAATACTGTGGCTTTGTAGTAGACCTTGAAGTTGGGAAGTGAGATCCCCCCTGTTTTATTCTTCCTTCTCAGGATTGCTTTGGCTCTTCAGGGTCTTTTGTGGTTCCATATTAATATTAGAACTATTTGTTCCATTTCATTGAAGAATGCTGTTGGTATTTTGATAGGGACTGCTTTGAATCTGTACATTGCTTTAGGCAGGATGGCCATTTTGACAACATTAATTCTTCCTACACAAGAGCATGGGATGAATTTCCATTTATTAGTGTCCTCTTTAATTTCTCTTAAGACTGTCTTGTAGTTTTCAGGATATAGGTCTTTCACTTCCTTGGTTAAGTTTATTCCTAGGTATTTTATTCTTTTTGGTGCAATTGTGAATGGAATTGTTTTCCTGATTTCTCCTGCTGCTAGTACATCGATTTCTCCTGCTGCTAGCTCATCATTAGTGTATAGGAATGTAACAGATTTCTGTGCATTAATTTTGTATCCTGCAACTTTGTTGAATTCCGATATTAGTTCTAGTAGTTTTGGAGTGGATTTTTTAGGGTGTATTATGTACAATATCATGTCATCTGCAAACACTGACAGTTTACTTCTTTGTTACCAATCTGGATTCCTTTTATTTCTTTGTGTTGTCTAATTGCTGCAGCTAGGACCTCCAGTACTATGTTGAATAAAAGCAGGGACAGTGGGAATCCTCTTGTTTCCAATCTTAGGGGAAAAGTTTTCAGCTTCTCGCTGTTAAATATAATGTTGGTTGTGGGTTTGTCATATATGGCCTTTATTTTGTTGAGGTACTTGCCCTCTATACCCATTTTGTTGAGAGTTTTTATCATGAATGGATGTTGAATTTTGTCGAATGCTTTTTCAGAATCTATGGAGATGATCATGTGGTTTTTGTCCTTCTTTTTATTGATGTGGTGGATGATGTTCATGGATTTTCAAATGTTGTACCATCCTTGTATCCCTGTGATGAATCCCACTTGATCATGGTGTATAATTCTCCTGATGTATTTTTGAATTTGGTTTGCTAATATTTTGTTGAGTATTTTTGTATCTATGTTCATTAGGGATATTGGTCTGTAGTTTTCTTTTTTTGTGGTGTCTTTAGATGGTTTTGATATTAGAGTGCTGCTGGCTTCATAGAATAAGTTTGGGAGTATTCCCTCCTCTTCTATTTTTTGGAAAACTTTAAGATGGGTATGGTATTATGTCTTCTCTGTATGTCTGATAAAATTCAGTGGTAAATCCATCTGGTCTGGGAGTTTTGTTCTTGGGTAGTTTCTTGATTACTGATTCATTTCATTCCTGGTAATTGGTCTGTTTAGATTTTCTGTTTCTTTCTTGGTCAGTATTGGAAAGTTATATTTTTCTAGAAAGTTGTCCATTTCTTTTAGGTTATCCAGTTTGTTAGCATATAGATTTTCATAGTATTCTCTAATAATTCTTTGTATTTCTGTGGGGTCTGTAGTGATTTTTACTTTCTATGTCTGATTCTGTTTAAGTGTGTAGATTATCCGTTACTCTTAGTAAGTGTGGCTAGGGGTTTATCTATTTTGTTTATTTTCTCAAAGAACCAGGTCTTGGTTTCATTGATTTTTTCTACTGTTTTATTCTTCTCAATTTTATTCATTTCTTCTCTGATCTTTATTATGTCCCTCCTTCTGCTGACTTAGGGCCTCATTTGCTCTTCTTTTCCCAGTTTCAATAATTGTGACTTTAGACTATTCATTTGGGATTATTCTTCCTTCTTTAAATATGCCTGGATTGCTATATATTTTCCTCTTAGAACTGCATTCACTGCCTCTCACAGAAGTTAGGGCTTTGTGCTGTTGTTTTCATTTGTCTCCATATATTGCTTAATCTCCGTTTTAATTTGGTCATTGATCTATTGATTATTTTTGGAGCATGTTGTTAAGCCTCCATGTGTTTGTGAGCCTTTTTGTTTTCTTTTTACAATTTATTTCTAGTTTTATACCTTTGTGATTTGAGAAGTGGTTGGTACGATTTCTATCTTTTTAATTTCCTGGGGCTCTTTTGGTGGCCTAGTATGTGATCTATTCTGGAGAATGTTCCATGTGCACTTGAGAAGAATGTGTATCCTGCTAATTTTCGGAGGAATGTTCTATTGATATCTGTTAGGTTCATCTGTTCTAATGTGCTGTTCAATGCATCTGTGTCCTTACTTATTTTGTTTGGTTGATCTGTCCTTTGGAGTGAGTGGTGTGTTGTAGTCTCCTAGAATGAATGCATTGCATTCTATTTCCTCCTTTAATTCTGTTAGTATTTGTTTCACATATCTGGGTGCTTCTGTTTTTGGTGCTTAGATATTTATAATGGTTATATCCTCTTGTTGGACTGACCCCTTTATCATTATGTAATATCCTTCTTTATCTCTTGTTACTTTCTTTGTTTTGAAGTATTTTTTGTCTGATACAAGTACAGCAATACCTGCTTTTTTCTCCCTGTTGTTTGCATGAAATATCTTTTCCCATCCCTTCACTTTTAGTCTGTGTATGTCTTTGGGTTTGAAGTGAGTCTCTTGTAGGCAGCATATAGATGAGTCTTGCTTATTTATCCATTAGATTCCTCTGTGTCTTTTGATTGGTGCATTCAGTCTATTTACATTTATGGTGATTATCAATAGATATGCACGTATTGCCATTGGAGGCTTTGGATTTATGGTTACCAAAGGTTCAAGGGTAGCTACTTTACTATCTAACCGTCTAACATAACTCACTTATTGTGCTATTATAAACACAGTCTGATGATTATTTCTCTCCCTTCTTTTCCTTCTCCTCCACTCTTTATATGTTAGGTGTTTTATTCTGTACTCTTTTGTGTTTCCCTTGACTGATTTAGTGGATAGCTGATTTTATTTTGCATTTAGTTAGTATCTGGTTGGCCTACTTTCTTTGCTGTGGTTTTATTTTCTCTGGCGACACCTATTTATCCTTAGGAGTGCTTCCATCTAGAGCAGTCACGTTAGAATACACTGTTGAGATGGTTTGTGGGAGGTAAATTCCTTCAACTTTTGTTTATCTGGAAATTGTTTAATCCCTCCTTTAAATTCAAATGATAATCTTGCTGGATACAGTATTGTTGGTTCAAGACCTTTCTGTTTCATTGCACTGAATATATCATGCCATTCTCTTCTGGCCTGTAAGGTTTCTACTGAGAAGTCTGATAGCCTAATAGGCTTTCCTTCATAGGTGATCTTTTTTTTCTCTGGATGTTTTTAATACTCTGTCCTTGTCTTTCATCTTTGCCATTTTAATTACTATATGTCTTAGTGTTGTCCTCCTTGGTACCTTGTGTTGGGAGATCTGTGGACTTCCATGGTCTGAGAGACTATTTCCTTCCCTAGATTGGGGAAGTTTTCAGCAAGTACTTCCTTGAAGACACTTTCTATCCCTTTCTCTCTCTCTTCTTCTTCTTGTACCCCTGTAATGTGAATATTGTTCCATTTGGATTGGTCACACAGTTCTCTTAATAGCCTTTCATTCCTAGATATCCTTTTATCTCTCTCTGCTTCAGCTTCTCTGTATTCCTGTTCTCTTATTTCTATTCCATTATCTGTCTCCTGCACCTCAACCAGTCTGCTCTTAAATCCTTCCATTGTTTGTTGCATTTCCATTATCTCCCTCCTGAATTCATTACTTAGCTCTTGCATAGTTCTCTGTAGCTGTATCAGCATGCTAATGACTTTTATTTTGAATTCTTTTTCAGGAAGATTGGTGATTTCGGTCTCACCAAGGCCCTCTCTTTGGTGTTTGAGGAATTTTGGACTGAACAAGGTTCTTCTGCCTTTACATGGCAGTGGAATTGATTGTCGGCGAGTGGTGCATGTGTCAGCGGGGAGAACAAAGTCCTTTCCTGTTTGCTGGTCACCTTACCCATCTCCACTGCCTGTGCCAGTCAACCTCACACAGAGAGCAGCCTCTGGGTTGATCCCCTGAGCTGCTGTGGGCAGGGTGGCCCTTGAGATAGCCTAAGGCACTGGCAGGGGTTGCAGATGAGTAGCACATATTCGCCATGAGAACAGAGCCCCTACATGCTTCCTCGACTCTGTGCCAGTTTCCTCTGCCTGTGCCAGTCAATTGGGTGCAGGGAGCAGCCTCTGGGTTAATCCCCTGAGCTGCCATGGGCGGGGCAGCCCTTATACCCAGAGAATATTTTACAAATTATTTCTTACACAAGACAGCAATGCAAATTGAAATATGTCATCTGCGACAAGGCATAACATTCTGCATTTTTAGTAAATACTTCTGGTGCTTCCCCTTTAGGTGAGACAATTACACTGGAGAACCAGTAGGGTTACTTGAAAGCAATAGGTATAGATACATTTAAGTTTATCTCTCAATTACAAACACAATGTCTTGTTTAAACTACATTTGCAAATTCTTGCATCTTTAAAATGGGGGCATTCAAAACTCTCTCCCACAGTTAAATGAGATACTGATACAGTACTCAACCTGTCTGTAAAATGTCAACTATTGCTGCTGCTCGTGACACTGCCTTAAATATGACTAGATTCACATGGTACTAAAGTTTGACTTCAGAACACAAATTCAATTTACTGGATACTTGGTGATTCCTCTTCCTTGGTGAGTCACTTTTTCAAAATGTTTCATAAAACAGCTATTATGGTTACTACAGCTGCTACTAGGAGAGCATGTAAAGCAGTGTAGAGACATAGAAGCCTCCAGTTCTTCTCAGTCTTCCCCAAAGCTTTTTCTATGATTAAACCTAAAAATAAAAGCACATAAAAAAATCAGAGTAAAAAGCTAAGCTACTTTTACTTTCAAGTTGCAGCAAACTAATAGAATGTTCTTAATTTTTGTCCTTATTCAAGGAATTTGGAAAAATAATAATAGTATCATAATACTTAGGACTATCTCTACAACCTCTTCTTAGAATACAAACCAAGTTCTAGAAAATTCCAATGTATTCTACATTATACATCAGCTACAGCAAAATTTCACTGTAACACTACAAGTAGGACCCAAAAACTTCAAAAATACATAACATGGGATCATGTAATTGCAAGGTTATCCAACAAACCTACATTGTTACACGGTACATTATCACAGAATTTCAGTATCTTTGTTCATATCTTGTTTTTATTAGATTGTTGGCTTTTTGACATGAGGAATCTGTTTGCATATATGGACCCATTGCAGTGGCACTAAAATGCCACCAGCATAAAAATCAGGAGACTTGATTTCTAACCCAAATTCTGCCACTGGTTAGCATGTATATGGTGACCTATACATATTCTTTAAGCTCGGAGGGAACTTTATTTTGCTTACTGTACACCCCCTGTGCCACATGACAAGCAGCTGGCTGGTCATTACATTTGGGAGTTCCATGAGTATTTGCCAAATCAATGGATGAATGATGGAAACTTTAGTCACAGTGAACACATAGAACATTGTGCTAGCATCCTTCCTGTTATCTCTTTTTCAGCAATTTTTTTTCATGCAAACTAATTCCTTTACCTTAAAAATTCATCTTCACTTTCATTTATTCTTCTATAATGGACAGATAATAACTGCTACACAGAGTGAATATTGTTTGTACAGATGAGATCACTGTTCAATTATAAGGAGAGGAAAAGTTGAAAGTATAAAAGAGAAAGTCAGTGATATAAGTAAATAGAAAATTTAAAAGATACTCTCAGCTTCAATCATGATATTTGAGAGTTAATATTAGAAAATGAGTAAGATTAAGATATTTTTAATTTCCATTTCTGACAGAAGCCCATTTGCCTTTTAATTACAAATACTGGTGCCTTTTTAAGTGGCAAAAGGTCATACTCTTTTTGTGAACACAATCAATTTGAGAATTATACTAATTGGATATGTAAAGAGATAGATACTTGCCTTGCTTCTTGGACAATCTAGAAACTTCTCTGCTACGATGTTTGCAATGTGGAGGCAGGTAGCCCCCAGTACAATGGCACTCCATATTCGATTTGCACACCTAAGATTTTTAAAAACTTAAATGATCATTTAAAAACATTTTATCGTAAAAAGTAAAATTATCAAATGGATCATGAAGTTTCCTTTTGTATTTTCCTCTACTATAATTTTGTTTGATTTATTTAGAGAGGTGATACAACAGAATCCTTAGTTTCTTGGCATACAGTACACATGCTCACATGCAGGCACACACACACAAGCTAAAAAATATGTTATAAAGTAGGCCTCACCATATTTGCATCAAGAAGATTTAATACCTTCAAATATGCACCTGAAAATTGAGTGTGCCATTTCAAAAACACATACTTAAATTCTAATGAAAATGAAATCCTTCCCATGGGTGGATGCTAGCTACTGCCAGCCCCAGAACTGATTGTGTACATCTCTTCCCATCCCCAAATTCAGTGACATAGTGTTAGCTTGCAGCATTTGCAATTATAAATGGTGACTTTACCTCCCCCCAGGCTGGTTGTTAAACATTTATGAGCATAACAGGGCCCTTGATTAGGACTGAGTCCTAGGCTATTTGCTTTTGTTTGATTTTAAAGCAAAAGTACATATATATACATATATATAGCATAACATTAGGAAAAGATGGTTTCTGTAAATCATAAATAATCATAATAGTGAACACCTTTATCGTGCTTACTATGTATAAGTCTATATTCTCAGAACTTTATATAGATTTACTCATTAAATACAACATCCTTGTGACTATTATTATTCCCACTTTAGGGATGAAGAAACTAAGACATAAATACTTAACTTGTGAAAAGTCACTGGGTTAGTAAGTGATAGGCCAGGATTTAAACCCAGGCAATCTGGTTTCTGAGGCCCTGCCCTTGAAAATTTGCTATAATACCTCTCAAAATAATATAAAACATCTCTTAAGAGCTAAGATCTCAATTTAAGAACATGAGTCTAATTTCTCTATTCCATTGCTTAAATGTACAGAGAGGAAAAGTACTCTGTTCAGGGTATGCACTGACTCAGCTTCATGCCATTGTGTGTATGTGTGTGCATATGTACTCTTTACCCTGAAAGTACTCTGAAATACTTCACAGAACTGATGTTGTCCTTCTCAGGAGATACATGTCAGTTTGTCCTAATATTATGTTGTTACTTTTGGGTCACTTGGTTAAGGTGCTGTCTTCCAAGTTTTTCTACTAGAAGTTAATATGCTTCCATTTGTAATTAATAAGTAATTTTTGAGGACTTACTTATGAGATTATGCAAGCATCTGGGTCCTCACAAAAATTTCACCCACCAGGTTTAGCATTCACTGCTAATTACTTCTCCATTATTCCTTCTATATCAATTATATTATAAGGAAGAATCTCCTTTATCTCTATTTATTTATTCAGTTTTTGCTATCTGTAATGTAAAGTCAAACGACAGCTCAAATTACCTTTGACAAGGGTGCCAAGACCACTCAATAGGGAAAGAAAAGTTTCTTCAGAGAATGCTGCTGGGAAAACTAGATCTCCAATGCAAAAGAATGGAGTTGGACCCGTATGTCACACTATATACAAAATTAACTCAAAACAGATTAAAGGCCTAAATGTAAGACCTAAGACTGTAAAACTCCTAGAAGGAAACACAGGGAAATCTTCATGACACTGGACTTCACGATGATTTCTTAGATATGATACTAAAAGCACAAACAACAAAAGTAAAATTAGACAAATGTGTATACCAAACTTTAAAACTTTTGTGCCTCAGAGGAAACAATCAACACAGTGAAAAGGCAACCTACAAAAGAGGAGAGAAGACTTGCAAGTCACATATCTGATGAGGGATTACTATCCAGAATATATAAAGAACACCTACAGCACAACAACAAAAAAATCAAATAATCTGTTTTTAAAAAGGGCAAAGGATTGAATAGACATTTCTCCAAAGACAGTATACAAAGAGCCAAAAAGAAAATGAACAAAGGCTCAATAATGCTAATCATAAAAGAAATACAAGTGAAAATTACAAAGATATCGCGTTACAATCATTAAGATGGCCACCGTAAAAAAAGATCATCTCTAACAAGTGTTGACAAGGATGTGGAGAAACTGGAACCACTGAACACTGTTGGTCGGATTGTAAAATAGTGCAACGGCTACGGAAAACAGTTTGGAAGTTGTTCAAAAAATTAAAAACAACTACCAAATGATTTAGGAATCCTACTTCTGGGTACATATATAAAAGAATTGAAAGCAGAGCTTCAAAGAGATATTTGCACACCCATGGTCCTAGCAGCACTAGTCACAAGAGCCAAGAAGTGGAAGCAACAAAAATGTCCATCCACAGCTGATTGTATTAACAAAATGTGGTCTACACATACAAGGGAATATTATTCAAAGGAAGTCCCAGTACATGCTAAAACACGGACGAACCTTTGGGACATTAAACTAAGTGATATGTACCATCACTAAAAGACAAATACTATGTTATTCCACTCACATTAGTTCTCTGAAATAGTCAAATTCATACAAACAAAAAGTAGCTGTGGTTTGCAGGGGGTGTTGGAAAAGAGGAAAAGAAAATTATCATCTAATGGGCTTATGTGATATTGTGATTTACAATAAATATTTGGTCATGAAATATATATTTCTCATACACATTTGGTCTTTATCCACAGTTCCTGGCTCATAACTCCCAAAACCCTTGGAATTTCCTAAGTGTTAAAAGTGATAGAGGCATCTTTCTTTATGTGAATGAAGTAACTTTTGGAAGCACCTAGGATGGCGGATGGCGGCCAGGAGAACCAGTCATATGATTAGAAGGTTGGAGCTCTCATTCCCACCCCTCCAGCCTCTGGGGAGGATAGAAGGGCTGCAGATTTAATCAACTGGCAATGACCAATGACTTAATCATCATGCATGTATAATGAAGCCTCCCTAAAAACCCAAAAGGATGGGGTTCAGAGAGATTCTAGAATGGCAAACATGTAGTGATTTGTGGGGAGTACATGTCTGAAGAGAGTGTGGAAGTTCATGTCCTTTCTCTACCTTTCCCTATGCATCTCTTCTAGCTGGCTGTCTCTGAGTTACATCCTTTTATAATAAACAGGTAATCTAGAAAGTAAAATGTTTCTCTGAGTTCTATGAGCCACTCTAGCAAATTAATTAAATCCAAGGAGGCGGTCTTGGGAACCTCTGATTTACAGCCAGTCAGGAGCATAACAACCTGGGTTTGTGACTGGCATCTGAAATTGGGGTTGGGGGTGTTGGGGTGACGGGTACAGTCTTGCAGGACAGAAACATTAACCTGTGCAATCTGATGCTATCTCTGGGTCAACAGTGTCAGAACAGAGTTGAATTCCTAGACACCTGATGGTGTCCAAGAACTGCTTCTGGGTGTAAGGGGAGAAAACTCCCCAATAGAAACTGGATGCTCAGAACACAAAAAAGAGTATTAGTTTCAGATTTGCAAAAGAAAAAAATCCTAGAAATCTGCTTCACAACAAAGTGAATATACATAATGCCAATTGATTTGTACACTTAAAAATGGTTGAGATAGCAAATTTATGTGTCTTTCCTACAACAAAACAATTCACAGCAGCTTTACTCAAAGTGGCAAAAACTTAAATTACTATCAACAGATGAATGGATAAATTGTGTAATATCCATAAAATGGGATGGTAACAGCAATGAAAACAACAAACTAAGTATGTTATAAATGCCACAGTACATTACTACTGTATTTAAAGTCAATGGCCTTTAAAAAAACATTCAAATGAAATGTAGTATTTTATATTTATGCATAATTTTTAATTTCCAGTACCCTATAGTGTTTTTTGTATATCCACATTTCCATCTGACATTATTTTCTTTTCACATGAATATAGTTTGATATTTTCTTTAGTGCCTATCTTCTAACCAATAAATTCTCTCAGATGTTTGCATCTGAGAAAAGTATTTTCTATCCCTTATCTTTGAGATGTTTTCATTTGATATAGAATAATAAATTACCAGGTTTTTTTCATACTTAAATGATGTCACAAAATTGTGTTCTTACATATTTTCTGATAAGTCATCCTATTTTTTAAATTAAAATATCGATACACAATTTTATGCAGGTTTCACATGAACATTGTGGTTTCAACATTCACCCTTATTATCAAGTCATCATCCCCCACCACAATACACTCACTAACAGCATAGTAAGATGCTATAGAGTCATTACTTGTCTTATCCATGCTATACTGCCTTCACTATGAACGACCTATATTGTGATTGCCAATTATAGTACCCCTTAATCCCCTTCTCTCTCCCTCCCCATCCACCCTCCAAACCCCTTCCCTTTGGTAACCACTAGTCCCTTCCTGGAGTCTGTAAGTCTACTGCTGTTTTGTTCCTTCACTTTTTGTTTTGTGGTTATACTTCACAAATGAGTGAAATCATTTGGTGCTTGTCTTTCTCCACCTGGCTTATTTCAATGAACATAATACCCTCTAGCTCCATTCATGTTGTTGAAAATGGTAGGATTTGTTTTCTTCTTACAGCTGAATAAAATTCATTGTACATTTGTACCACTTTTTCTGTATCCATTCATTTACTGATGGACACTTACTTTGCTTCCATATCTTGGCTATTGTAAATAGTGCAGCTATAAACACAGGGATGCATATGTCTTTTTGAATCAGGCATCTTGTTTTCTTTGGGTAAATTCCTAGGAGTGGAATTACTGGGTCAAACGGTATTTCAATTTTTAGTTTTTTAAGGAACCTCAATATTGCTTTCTACAATGGTTGAACGAATTTACATTTCCACCAACAGTGTTGGAGGGTTCCCCTTTCTCTGCATCCTAGTCAGCATGTTTCTTGTCTTTTGGATAGTGACCATCCTAACTGGGGTGAGGTGATATCTCATTATGGTTTTAATTTTCATTTCCCTGAAAATTAGCAATAAGGAGCAACTTTTCATATTTTTGTTGCCCATTCAAATTTCTCCTTTGGAAAAGTGTCTGTTCAGATCCCATGCCCATTTTTTAATCAAGTTTTTTGTG